TTTCAAAAATATTTTGAAATTATTTCTTGCTGTTAATTTCACGTCACTCCACAGAAACATTTGACACATTGCTGACATATGTCAGTTGATATTAACAAGTGTTATCGACACCTCGCATTTCTGTACTATTGACGGAAGTCATTGAGAAGCCGAAAAACTCCACACAGATACAGCAGAGCCTTGAACTATACACGCGGGATTATGGATATTCACATAAATAGGAGCTTCCCCAACACAGCAACAATCCAAATTAAAATTTGAGAGAAATCCAAATCTCGATTTGGTGCCATGAAACTTAATTTGAAATCCGAATAGTTCATTAAGATTTCAACACAATTGATCGCCATATATGATACATCAGCTTACGCGGAACCATCTTGCCAGGGCGATAATGACAAGGATTATACCTTATGTACAATGTTGACCCACTACATGTTACCCACTACATGTTACCCACTACATGTTACCCACTACACGTTGACTAGCTTTGACCAAACAGGTTGCACGCATGGCTGGAAGTAATTGCATATAATACAGTGTGTAAATGAATAGGTCTTTTAGATGACACAAAAATAAAAAAATATCTTTTATTTTATCTTTTATCTTATCTTTATCCAGGAAACAGAGGATAGGTAGTTTCCATGCAAAAATTATTCTATTGGGATATACTTTTAAAAATGATTGTTTAACTGAATTACATAGGACGTTAAGTCACATTGTGATAAACGTGTATATATGTGTATTCACTTTTAACTACCCGCTTCAACAAATCTTGAATGTATGTACATAATAATGATCCTCGATCAATATCTGCTATTTTGAAAATGCTTATATAAACAGAACAATATCTGATACGATTTAAAAATTCTATTTAGATTTAATATTTTCTAATCATGTTCTAAACACCGTCCATCAATAAATATATACATGAATATGTAGATAATTTTAAACATCACTCTCACATGTGGACGGGGTGAAACCAGTGATTTTAACCACAACTACAGAGAAAGTCATACTATAAGCAACAGTAAATGCACATTCGACAGATTGGACATTTTTGATCTTCCACCATTATAATGTATTACAGACGAAATTGTGCATGGATGTTATGTACTGACCAACAAAAAATGTAAAATATGTACAGTTGTGAAATATTGAAACAATAAACCCAAAATGTGAACTGAGTCGACTGGAGGTAACCAGACCTTTGGTACGATGTATGTGAGCAAGTGATGCGTTTGTAGGAGCATACAATTCTCTGGTGAAGAACTTTTCATTTAATGAGTTTAAAGCTGAATAAAATTCGGCGTGGTTTCTCTTTTCTAACTCACCTGTGCATGTACATAGTACTATATACCCACGTGTGTAGACGTACATACATTCACGTTCGTATTTGCAGTACAAACTAAAGTACCGCGCAAAAGAAAGGATACAGTATGTTCGATGGTGGCTAAAAACGAAAAAACAATAAATGGTAATTCGATGGTGATGTTTTTAATGCGGGTATCATAGTTTTGTTTGGACCTTAAATTTGCAGTGTTCGGCGACTGTTTTCAGCCTGGTATTATTAACGTATTGTTGTTTTGTAATTATTTTAGTCAAATTCAATGTTTAAGTGGATACTTGTGTTTGCTCGGCAGTTTATTTAATGACCAGATTTCCCTCCTGTCGTATTCACAGGTGTATATATTTACATAAGTATGCACATGTGTGTGTGATATTGTGAATACTGTCTTTGATGACCCATGCATACCGAGGAGCGCTGGTGTCTTTTTCAAGATAAAAAAAAAAAAAAAAACACACCTGGTGTTAATATTAAAACACAATGTGTTCAGGTGCCCGTGGACGGTTACAGTATGTGTTGTACATAACACTGACTCACCGGTGCAGCTTAATCAGCAACATCAGCAATGATTTTCAAAGTTGCTGAACCGTGTCAAATATTTTTATTTTTTATTAACAGAATGTTTGTTAAACGGTAAAACGTTTTATAATATCTATTTTATCATTATCATGTATTAAGATACCCTCATAACCTATGAAATATTACATAAAACATAATATCTTCAAGAATATAATACTATTTGGCAGGTTTTGCACCATGGCTTGAGCGCAAGTGAAATTCAAAGTGAAATTGCACAGTTCTACTCCATCGGCTATTATGTCTCTTCATAATAGTAGTCATGGCAACAATGAGTCCAAGACAGTATATAAGTTTTATAAATAAAGATAAAAAATGTATCAACCTTTTGCAATAAATAGTTCACTAAAAAAAATTAAAAATAATTTCCTGTCCGATTTTTTATCCCTCGATAGTTTTTTGTATGAGGACAGTGCCTGACTATCGAGGGATTTGGAAAATTATAATAATTATCTGACATTTATTTTATTTATTTATTTTATTTAGAGAAGATCTACTTTACGGCATTGGTATAAAGAACTCTTCCCAGAAGGGGCGGTCGGGTAGCCTAGTGGTTAAAGCGTTCGCTCGTCACGCCGAAGACCCGGGTCGATTCCCGACATGGGTACAATGTGTGAAGCCCAATTCTGGTATCCCCCGTCGTGATATTGCTGGAATATTGCTAAAAGCGACGTAAAACCATACTCACTCACTCGCTCCCAGAAGAAAGGGACGCCGATGGTTCCACGACCTTTATGAACTCAAATTAAACAACGCTACACGTATGTTTGTTGCTGAGGTTAAATTACAGATGTTAAGAGATGTGTTCCAAATTTTGACAATCTTGTGGAACTTTCTGCTGTATCTTCATGTCTCCATTTTTCTACATCATTCATCTTTCAGTTTTTTTCTGGAACCACCAGATAGCTATGCGTGAGTGAGTGACTGCGTTCAAACCTGACGAAGATCGCTATGACGTCCATGCTTTAGGACTTATATTTTCAGGGATTAATGCATTCGACAGTACAATTGTTGTAGACACTACAGTATCTAAACAATATTGAATAATAAGTCACCGCTATACACACTAACATGTATGAACATTCTATCTTCTCACACTTTACACATTAACTTGTGTAATCGTATCTTCTCACACAAAATACATTAAGCAGTTTAATTATTCTATCTGCTGGCACTATATACATTAACATATAGAACCATCTCCTGACACTACCAACAAGTATATATACTAGTATATGTCATCTTCTGACTGTGCAGGTTACCATACTATCCAATTCGCCTTGTCATGACTAGCATTGTATACGAATACTTGTATGATAATAACATTCTGATGCTCTCTGTGTTATCCTCAGTGTCCCGTGGCACAGGGTTGTCATTTGTTCCTGAACCACATGACATCCCTCCCTTCTTCGCTTCTCGCTTCTCTCAATACCCCCCTCCCTCCCTGTCTCCCATCTATCTTTCCCTCCCCATTCCTCTCCGCATCCCTCGTCCTCTCTTCATCCCTCCCTCCTGTCTCTCCATCCATCTTTCCCTCCCCATTTCTCTCCGCATCCCCCCTCTCTTCATCCCTCCCTCCTGTCTCTCCATCTATCTTTCCCTCCCAATTCCTCTCCGCATCCCTCGTCCTCTCTTCATCCCTCCCTCCTGTCTCTCCATCTATCTTTCCCTCCCCATTCCTCTCCGCATCCCTCGTCCTCTCTTCATCCCTCCCTCCTGTCTCTCCATCTATCTTTCCCTCCCAATTCCTCTCCGCATCCCTCGTCCTCTCTTCATCCCTCCCTCCTGTCTCTCCATCCATCTTTCCCCCCCATTCCTCTTCGCATCCCTCCTCTCTTCATCCCTCCCTCCTGTCTCTCCATCTATCTTTCCCTCCCAATTCATCTCCGCATCCCTCGTCCTCTCTTCATCCCTCCCTCCTGTCTCTCCATCCATCTTTCCCTCCCAATTCCTCTCCGCATCCCTCGTCCTCTCTTCATCCCTCCCTCCTGTCTCTCCATCTATCTTTCCCTCCCCATTCCTCTCCGCATCCCTCGTCCTCTCTTCATCCCTCCCTCCTGTCTCTCCATCTATCTTTCCCTCCCAATTCCTCTCCGCATCCCTCGTCCTCTCTTCATCCCTCCCTCCTGTCTCTCCATCCATCTTTCCCCCCCATTCCTCTTCGCATCCCTCCTCTCTTCATCCCTCCCTCCTGTCTCTCCATCTATCTTTCCCTCCCAATTCATCTCCGCATCCCTCGTCCTCTCTTCATCCCTCCCTCCTGTCTCTCCATCCATCTTTCCCTCCCCATTCCTCTTCACATCCCTCCTTCTCTCTTCATCCCTTCCTTCCCCGCTTCTCTCAATTCTACCCTGTCTCTCCATTCATCCATCCCTCATCCCCCCCCCCCCCCCCCCCCCCCCCCCCCAGACTCTCTCCTCCATCCCTCCACTTCCGATCGCCTGCCTCACTTGGTTTTGCTTACAAGGGGCGCCATTAACGGCGGTCACATGTCAAAGTAGCCGACAGGCCAACCCTCCTGGAATGACTTAATTAAAACATTTTACAAATATACGACACCCGTCTCAACTTTGAACAAAAGTGTGGATAGATATCATGTTTGATATAAAAATGCCTTAGACTACGGTTTTCAAAAAGATAAAATTTTCAAAGAAGACGACAGGTGGGTTTTGTGTAATAAATGTAAATTTGTGATTTGCAACAACAGACTCGTCTGCCTCGTCCTATATGCACGGGTAGGTTAATGTAATGTAACATGCGACCCTGTTTATCCAGTGAAATAGTCCGGATCAACGAATCCTCGTCTGAACCAATCATGTGTGGTCCTTTCACTTGACTAAAGGCGTTCCAAAGTGAAAATTCCGGAATGAGGAGGGTCCGGATAATCGCGGCCCGAATTATAAGTTTAAAAGGTCAACAACAACAGGAAGCATTATCTTGTACTGCGCATGTCCCACACAACCGGAAGTCAGAAGCACAGAACAGAGTCGTCTTCAGCACGCAAGTGGAACGTTCGTTAAATATTTCATATTTTTGACATAACCATAATACAAAATGGAATAACATATTTAGTACTCACTTTTCGTAGTCTGTTTTACAGTAGAGCTTTCTGTCCCGGGCGAAGCAGGATCCGGTGAGAGGTATTTGGCATATTGCGCACTGGAGACAATGTTCGTGCCATGAGTTTTCCATGACTTTCAACAGGAAGCGGTCTTCGATGGGGCACTGACACCCAGAACACACCTCCTTGTGAACCACTGTCTGGGAAGGCATGGCGTCTGAAGAAGTCAAAAACTGGTAGTTCAGGCGGTGTTCATGTAAATGATTCTAAAAATGATAGTGTATATTAAAAGATGTGCATGGCGTCAGGGTAGCCTAGTGGTTACGCCGAAGACCCGGGTTCAATTCCCGACATGGGTACAATGTGTGAAGCCCCTTTTATTGTGTCCCCCGCCGTGATATTGTTGGAAAATTGCTAAAGCGGCGGAAAACCAGTCTACCCCACCGCCTAGTAGTAGTAGTAGTAGTAGTAGTAGTAGTAGTCTGACATCACACAACTTTACGCAAGTCTACCTCTTTCTCGTGTTGATATAGATCAAGGTAACCGACAAATAACATCTACATTAGCTCTGTTACGAATTATTGAGACTACATACACCAACCCGTTCCTGCTTAGAAATAATTGTCACAACGTTCAATTAATTTTTCACACACCAGATTATCTGTGTAAAGATCGACTTCACACATACATGTATAATGGATGTTGTTACTCATTGCGGAAAGATTTCCATCTGTTTGACAATATATTTGATAAATCTATTTGATAAATATAATCATCTATTTGACAATATTATCATGTCCATTATCACGATCCGGTATATGTTTGTTTGGTCTAATAATATAAATTTTCAAACTAAACTAAAAAAGTAGTTTATAGATTTATGATAGTATTTTCCAGTACAAATCAAAGTATTTACGTGTGATATGTTTTTTTAGAGCCTAGGTATCAATGTTTGTAAAAGAAATATCAACATGTCAAACTCCAGGTAAGGTATTCCCAGTGCACTAACGCAGAGGTTAAACTATCAGGCGATCGTGTTGCCGCACTGACACCTTGCTCCATAAACCCCACAAACATATTGACGACCATGTTTGTGTTAGAAATTATACTTTTTAGAAAACCATCATTGTATTATAACTAAACATCTCCAAAAGTGTTGCAGTCTCTTTGAAGACCGAGTAACACACACGATGCTAAACACAAGGCAAATAGTCCCCCTCTCGACCGCTTTGATAGCCTTGCATCTCGGCATGGTCGGCGCACAGACCTCGGGTAGTGGGAGCGCTGGGCAGAGAGGCTATGGACGGGGGAGATATGTAAACTTGGGGAGCAAACAGAAATATTGAATACAGTGTTTGGAAAATCCTCCAAAAGCCGGCCAAGTGTCAAGAACTGAGAAGGATAGTGAAAGACTATCGGAAATCTATTCTTGTTTTGAGTACAGGTGGTGCGAGGTTGGCCAGTAATCTGAAAATGATATACAACGACATGACAGTGGGACCTCTTTGATTCCGAAGCTCCAAGAAAACCGTTGTGAAAAACAATGGCGGGGAGCTTGGCTGGTATTGAGAGACGGGCAATAGATTTGGCAAACCAAACAAAGCCCTTTGTGGTCAACGATTGAAAAGCCATTTTTCACAGGGTGGTCAAGTCGCCCCCGTGTTTGACTGGCAGCTGAGGGGTAAGGGGGCATGCGGGTTGAGGAGGGACCTTTGGGGAAGGGGTTAGAGAGGACAGCTTTAGAGACGGGTGGGAGGTTTGAGGACATGGGAAGGGGTGGGCGGGGTGCACAGAGGTTGGGGTGGTGGGTAACAAAGGTCATAATAGTTGTCGTGGTTCAGATTAGAGAAGATGGTTTACGGTTGAAGGAAGACACTAGTTGAAGGTTATTGTTGGCTTCGATAAGATATAAAAATCGGAAATAAAATGCCTGGCAAAAGAAAGCATACATTTAAAAATTAGATTTGATAAAAAAAAAAATCCAAACGTCTTCAAACATTACTAGGCTGAAGTAACAATTGAAACTTAACGTCCAAACACAACCATGTAACCCGCATGAAATACATTACCACCGATTAACCATTTCCAGTTTGCTTCATTTTAGCCCGGCAGTTTAGATGCTGGTTTTGGCGAAGACCAAGAAGGAAGGTGTGTTTTTTTGTGTTAATACTTACTGTATAAAGAAGGTGGATATATTCCTATCCTGTCGAGCATGTGTCTTGCTTCTCGTGACATTGACGTGTGACAATAAACTGCAGTGGTCCAGACAAAATGGATAGGTACACTTGTGACATACTGAGATTAAAATTCGAACGTAAATGACACTATTGTCCACCTACGTTGTCAACGCGACAAGTTTTGTGTGAGACAACATTCGTATTAGGTGTGATGGCAATTGTCAAACATGACCACACGGTCTTTTTCTTCGGAAATACAAACTTATTCGAGAACGCTCGGAAAGCATCGGGTAGGACCAATTGATAACAACTGTTCCGATGTCCGACACACAGTTTACGCCTACCAGACGCGCGGGTTAAACAAATAACATTTACTCGGATTTAACAGAGAGCATATGCTCGGGTTTAAGAGATAACAGATGCTCGGATTTAACAAATAACATTTACTCGGATTTAACAGACAGCATATGCTCGAGTTTAAGAGATAACAGATGCTCGGATTTAACAAATAACATTTACTCGGATTTAACAGACAGCATATGCTCGAGTTTAAGAGATAACAGATGCTCGGGTTTAACAGATAACATTCACTCGGGTTTAACAGATAACATACACACGGGTTTAACAGATAACAGACGTTCGGGTTTAACAGATATCATTCACTCGGGTTTAACAGGTAACATACGCTCAGGTTTAACAGATAACAGGCACACTGGTTTAACAGATACCATTCACTTGGGTTTAAGAGATAACATTCACTCGGGTTTAACAGATAACAGACGTTCGGGTTTAACAGATAACAGGCACACTGGTTTAACAGATACCATTCATTTGGGTTTAACAGACACACGGGTATAACAGACACAGGGGGTTTAACAGATAACAGATGCTCGGGTTTAACAGATAATATTCACTTGGATCATACAGACAACAGGCACACGGGTTTAACGGTTAATGTGCACTCGGGTTTAACAGATAACAGATGCTTCCTGGTAGTACTGTAAGGCTGATTTTTACATTAGAATCAACTTTGAAATATTTATACTTATAGTGCATTTATCATACCCACATAACAGTCACAATATAAAACAAAACAAGTTTCATGAATGTTCGTGTTTCACGTATTGTGAATACGAAATAAGTTAAATTACTGTTAAAAAATACTTAATCTGTTTATCATACTCACGTCAGGTTTGATTGGAGACGTATACGACTCAGTTTGGTTCATATTTTGCCGATTCCGTTTCAAACATAACCAATTTATGCGTTTCGTTTTGAAAAAAAAACTATTTTTCGCAATGATACTAAAACTAATTAACCATAAACATCACATTGATAAACGTCCCTGGCATGTTTCCTCTCCACATACCACGATAATCATAAAAGCACACACAATGTTTCGAGTCGGGTGACACTTAAAGGCGCATGCCACTGCGAAGGTTGGACTGTTCAATTCACTCCCGCTGCGCACATAAACCTGCGCCGCAGAGGTGTACGCTATCACGCTTGAGCGCACAAAACTACTTGGTCTTCAGTGAGGTTTCAAGAGATTTGATGAGTTAGTCCTGGTCGGTTTATCAGTGCAAATAGACTTGGGAAGCATATAGCTTGATCAGCAGCGACGGCACGCCGTTTTTGGTTTGACACTCCGATGATGTACGGATTACGGACACAGAGATATCAATGACCCTCCCTTTCAACATTCGGTCGAGGGTGAAGCCAACACACGGCAGATTGTGAGGCCACCACACGGTAGATGGTGAGGCCACCACACGGTAGATGGCGAGGCCATCACACGGTAGATGGTGAGGCCAACACACGGTAGATGGTGAGGCCAACACACGGTAGATGGTGAGGCCAACACACGGTAGACGGTGAGGCCAACACACGGGAGATGGTGAGGCCAACACACGGTAGATGGCGAGGCCAACACACGGTAGATGGTGAGGCCATCACACGGTAGACGGTGAGGCCAACACACGGGAGATGGTGAGGCCAACACACGGTAGATGGTGAGTCCAACACACGGTAGATGGTGAGGCCAACACACGGGAGATGGCGAGGCCAACACACGGTAGATGGTGAGGCCAACACACGGTAGATGGTGAGGCCAACACACGGTAGATGGTGAGGCCAACACACGGTAGACGGTGAGGCCAACACACGGGAGATGGTGAGGCCAACACACGGGAGATGGTGAGGCCAACACACGGTAGATGGCGAGGCCAACACACGGTAGATGGTGAGGCCATCACACGGTAGATGGTGAGGCCAACACACGGTAGATGGCGAGGCCAACACACGGTAGATGGTGAGGCCAACACACGGTAGATGGTGAGGCCAACACACGGTAGATGGTGAGGCCAACACACGGTAGACGGTGAGGCCAACACACGGGAGATGGTGAGGCCAACACACGGTAGATGGTGAGTCCAACACACGGTAGATGGTGAGGCCAACACACGGTAGATGGCGAGGCCAACACACGGTAGATGGTGAGGCCAACACACGGTAGATGGTGAGGCCAACACACGGTAGACGGTGAGGCCAACACACGGGAGATGGTGAGGCCAACACACGGTAGACGGTGAGGCCAACACACGGGAGATGGTGAGGCCAACACACGGTAGATGGCGAGGCCAACACACGGTAGATGGTGAGGCCAACACACGGGAGATGGTGAGGCCAACACACGGCAGATGGTGAGGCCAACACACGGGAGATGGTGAGGCCAACACACGGTAGATGGCGAGGCCAACACACGGTAGATGGTGAGGCCATCACACGGTAGATGGTGAGGCCAACACACTGTAGATGGTGAAGCCAACACACGGTAGATGGTGAGGCCACCCTACGGTAGATGGTGAGGCCAACACTCGGGAGAGGGTGAAGCCGTGGTTCTGGAACATCATAGTTTTGTTTAACGCCGCACTAAGCAATAGTCCAGCTACCTGAGGTCGGTCTGTAAATAATTGAGTCTGGACCAGATAATCCAGTGATTGACAGAATGAGCATCGAGCCACGCCATTGGGATACGATGACATGCATCAACCAAGTCAGCAAGTCTGACAAACCGACCCTATTAGTCGCCTCTAATGACAAGCATGGACCAATGAACATCATAGATACTGTGAGGTCCACAATGAATGCTACGTTTAAATAAAAGTTTATAACCGATTGGAAGCTTTGTTAAAATGAACGCTATGATTAGTTAGAACGTTAGGATACAATGGACGCTATCCTCAGAGGGCTTGGATAAAATTAACTCTATGCTTAATAAAAACGTTTAGATTTAATTAACACTATACTTGGAGCGTTTGAATAACGCTATACTGAGTTAGAGAGCTTGAATATAATGAACATATGCTTAAATAAAGCGCATGGATGAAATGAACGCTATCCTTTGTTGGAATACTAAATTCAAATAAACGATATACGACGCTAGACGGCTGGGATAAAATGAACAATATACGTTGTTAGAAGGCAGCGTTAGGACGACCACGCTGCTCGGTTAGTAAGCAATGTTAAAATGGACGTTAGAAGTTGAAATACAGTGAAAAGCTTTCAGTTTTCCGTGACGATGCCATATAACTTATATCGGAACCATTTTGTAAAGACGATGGTTTACATTCCCAAATGTCAAGTAACGCTCGTGTCTAATTAGAGTTTCAATATAGATTTTACTACGATTTGCAGAGGTTTAAAACTTCTTTGAAATACAGTTCTCGAGTAGATACTGTATATACCAAACGTTCAATTAACACCTTCCCCATACTACTTCAATTATTTGGATGAAACTAATTTGGTATAATGTTGCAAATTCAGCCTGTTTTATAAATGTTCAAGGTTTTGATGCCCACAGTATAAAGTGAGCTACTTAACGGTTACTGGGTGTACGATGTGGTTATAGGATGTTTAAGGCTGACCCTGGTAATTAAATATGTAGTATGTAAATATCACATCAGCAAACACATTTCAGACGCTGGGTTCTATCAGATTAGTACAAGAGATTATAGGTGGAGCTATCGCCGGTCGCAGGAAGACAAATCGCTTTTCTTGCGCTTATGACGGTAGTCACTTCGATGTATAATGGTCTTACTTGTAGGACAACTAGTTTCAATCACCATATTCAAGGCAAAAAATGTTAAATGTTATTTCGATTACATAACATCTCATAAACTCACATTTTTATTGAGATAATCTTATTTAATATTCAGGCGAGGGGTAGTGGTATATCATCACGGTATCGACAGTCTATTCAAAACATATTTTCCGCTTTTTGAATATGTCAACCGGAGAATAGCACGTAACCATTCATCGAAAGATATAACTTAGCAATTCCAAGTCAAGGCTTTGAAAGGAGGCCTCAGATATGGTAAAATAATGAGTTTGTTTGTGTCTGCTCCACATGTTTCTCTCACTGCAAAGCAAACTCCAACTCACGGAGCATAGCAACGTCGTGAACTCCATCGTTAAACGTAGCCAGGACGCCGGCACGATGACTGCGGGAGCTTTCGATTGAACATGGAACCGCGGCCAGTAAGCGTGACTGAATGATTTCAAAGCGAGAGGGAGGCCGGGGAATACATTCTCTTGCGAGTTGCTGTGGCCGCCAAGAAGCGTTTTTAGCAAACCCCCGGGGAGAACGCGTGTGGGTTACGTCTCGCGACAACAAGGCTCGTGTCGTGCCACACGCGCGCACGGATCTCAGACGTACCTGGTTCCTCGGTGGTCTCCGTATCGGCGGAATTTCCACGGCAGATGGAATCGAGATATGGTGGTGAAGTGGCGAGTTTGCGAAGTCGTAACTCCTGATACTGTAATTGTCGGGACTGTAAATCTTGACGATACTTGTAGCAATAACGCCGCATCCCCAGTCGATATGAACCACTCCACAATCTCGCTGGACGAAACGCGTGCAGCTCTTTTCACACACGCAAGAATGTAGATCCCTTTCTTTGATATTTTGACATGCATATGACGCTGTTAGATTAGTCTTAACTCGTGAAAGCGCAGGTGAAATATAATTTACGAAGTAGCATGTTTTATGCACGACAGCTAGCATATTTATATGAGGACCTCGTTAATATATCACATTCTGAGTCCGGTTGGGATTATGAGACCAAAAACTCGTAGTAATTCCGGATAAGAATAGTTTGCCCCCATCAACCTCTGCTGATCGTAAGAGGCGACTAAATGGATGGGGTGGTCACGCTCGTTGAATGTATGTCAGGTATCCAAGTTGCGTAGATCGATGCTCATGATATCAGTCACTTGATTTTCAGGCCCAGACTCGATTACCTACAGGCCGCTATCATATAGCTGGAATATTGCCGAGTGCGGTGTTAAACTGAGGCAGGATAACAGCAAATCATGATTTCGAAATAATCGTCAAAAATGTGGATGGATATGTCATTAAGCGTGGCAATACGTGGATCGGGAGGTCAGCATGTGCGGCAATACGTGGACCGTGGGATAGTGGGGGAGGGGAAAGAAGATAATGTTTTGCTTCCCCCCTCCCCCCACCTAAATGTACATACATGCAGAGTATTTGCTGCAAAGCTGAATCTAGAAGTAATCTGATGTTATATACATATGTTAATATTTAATAGTCCAGTAAACTACGTTTATAACGAACACGCTTATAACGAACTGACGGATATAATGAAATGTAGATTGATCCCCTCCATTTGCTGTATTTATGCTGTATATATGCTTATAACGAACTACGGTTATAACGAACTAAAAATAGTGGTCCCTCTGAGTTCGTTATAACCGTAGTTTACTGTATACTTGGTAGTTTTGTACTATTCTGAATCGGTGCCATAGTGACTTGAAACATCAGCTAGGAAGCGGATCGAGTTCTAGTTCATATGTTGTCATTTTACTGCAAAAATCACGTTATAACAGAGGCTTAAAAAGAAAGTGATTATGACGTAACTGAACTACACGACATTTTATTGTCAGATAATTTGTATTTTGATTATGTATTTTATCTTGCCTCGTGAAAGTTATATCTTTAAAGCGAAACTTTTTGGGGTTAAAACTTGCCTAACACCACAAACGTTTCTTCCCGTTGACATATCGGAACTTTGCTTGAACCCATCACTGCTATGTTTCATACGAGGCAGGTATTTCCCCTTTTGCCCATCATTGGTTGACGATTTGTATTCGGGGCAGACTTGGTCCCCTATCTGCCGCCATTGACTGACTGTGTATTCGGTGTTGAATTGACACTAAATAACCCTTCACTGTCTTCCTGAGATACCAGACCGCCTCCGTGGTCCATTTGTAGAGCTTCTGCCCGGAGAGCGGAAGGTCTGGGGTTCGATCCCCGGCCGCGTCATACCAAAAGACTTTTAAAAGATGGTACTTGTTGTTACCCTGTCGGCATTAAGGGGCGAAAACAAGGTCTGGTCGGCTCGGTATACTGTGTCTGAGAGGGTATTCATGTTGAACTGCGGCATGGTATCTCAGTGAGCTAGCACTATAAATCGGCATCAGTCCGTACTAGTACAAGCAGCCACACACATACACACACGTGCATGCACGTCGCTATATTAGTGCAATAATCCTGAACGCGACGTTGAACCCCATTTCACCTCACCGGAGATACCTTGATACACACATCCCTGGGATGCTTGTCTATCTGGGGGAAACGTAGACACGTGTTCCAGCATCCTTAACGTATCTGTCTGATCACGTGTCCAATCGTCGATACCCGTAGGCAGAAACAATTTAGCGTACCACGTACAAGAAACAAAATCCTAATACGTCAATGTGAACGCCTATTTAGAATCTAACGTTGACCTTCACCTTAACGAAATGTTGCCTGAACTGATGAAGATGTCATACGGGCCTTTGGGTGCAATACACGAAGTCACGTGCCAACTTACCAGGAAGTGGGCAGTGGTTGTCGGTGAGGACTTGAGTGACGTCACACCCAGCATCCATCCAATCACAAACCTTCATACGAGGGCCGAAGATGCACGCAAGTCTAGGAGGAAAAAATCACTATGTAACATTTGTAACAGAACAGGTTCCCAGAAGGAACACTCAATATCAAAATGTTTAAAAATAATAACAAACACAAGCATATATTTACACACGCCCCATACTCCTGGTTTCGACAATATATTGACATGGATTATATTTTTCAAACGTTTATGGGTCAACATTTTTCACAACTCTTTTCATTCTAGAGCTGACCTTTAATATATATTAAATTTCAACTTACCTATATAAACACGGGTACCCTTCTCTCTATTCTTATCTGAAGACGTGGCAATGGCCTTTAGAATATCTTTTAACATTTTTACCACAGTATCAGAGAAGTAAAGTTTAAAGTTGATTTAAGTACTCACATGGTACAGTACATAGTATCAATATTGGTTCGTTATTAGCAATATTCCAGCTATATGACGGCGGTCTGTAAATAATCGAGTCTGGACCAGACAATCCAGTGATTAATATGATCATCGATCCACGCAATTGGGATCGATGACATGCATCAACCAAGTCAGCGAGCCTGACCACCCGATCCCGTAAGTCGCCTCTTACGACAAGATTAGTCACCTTTTACGGCAAGCATGGGTTGCTGAAGACCTATTCTATCCCGGAATCTTCACGGGTCTTAAAGTACATGTATGACTATTGGAGCGGTTGGGAATGCTCGGGTTCGACTCCCGCATGGATAGAATGTGTGAATGCCATTTCTGCCCCCTGCTTATTGCTTAAATATTTTTAAAAGCGGCTGAAAGCTCAAACACACTGGAATAATATTGGAATATCTCCCACGAGGGAGACTACATTTAAGGAAAGGTATTGGTTCTCGTGTTCGTGCGATGGGTGCTGATTGACGTCCAAGTGTTCTTCATTATTATTCAGCCACCCATGCTTGCCGTAAAAGGCGACTATGCTTGCCGTAAGAGGCGACTAACGGGATCGGGTGTCAGGCTCGCTGACTTGGTTGATGCATGTCATCGATCCCAATTGCGTGGATCGATGCTCATGATACTGGATGCACTGGATTGTTTGGTCTAGACTCGATTATTTACAGATCGCCGTCATATAGCTGGAATATTGCTGAGTGCGGCGTTAAACAACAAACCAACCAACCAACCATTATTATTCACAAATCTGATGCAACATTTCGTCTGCGTCATTGTGTGAGTTGCTATATCCAAGACCGACAAGACGGTCAATGGACAAAGAGATATCGACCACTGATGTCTTTTTAACAACTGATGGCCATTTCAATGTATTTTCACGACGAGATTACGCATTTTTCAAATCTTATGAAAAGCGATACGTTTTCAAATCTTAAATCATGGCAATCGATTATGAATATATAAAATTGGGTATCATTTCTATGGTGTATGTACTTATTTATGTAATAAATTAAATGCCTGTTACAGTAAATGTTCTTAGTAGTATAGACTTTTGGAAAAAAACATAAACTGACGTGCAAAAGAAAGTATACACTAAAATATTGCAAACGTTATCAAAACATAACTAGACTGAAATAGTCGCAGAAACACTGCAAACTTAAGGTCCAAAACCAACTATTATTCTCATATTAAATGCATCACCATCGCATAACCATTTCTTGTTTGTTTGATTTTTAGCCACAATCGAACATTGGTGTATACTTTCTTTTGCCCGACAGTGTACAGATGTAGATGAGTTTATCATGTCTTAAGCAACGCGTAGTTCTTTCCACATCAATTTGCCCGATTGCTGTCCAAATGATACATAGATATGTTTTATTGATATTAATATGTATATTTCATACGCGAATTTCTTATAGATGTAAATATGTTCTACATGTAATACATAGTCATTTGTTATTGATGTTAGTAAACGTCGTCACGCCGAAGACCCGGGTTCGATTCCCGACATGGGTACAATGTGTGAAGCCACTTTCTGGTGTCCCCCGCCGTGATATTGTTGGAATATTGCTAAAGGCGGCGTAAAACCATACTCACTCACTCACTCACTGTTAGTAAACCCGACAAAACCTTTTCCATGGTCATGAGAAGTATCTGCTGAAATCATGTGTACAAAGTGAGTGAGTGAGTATGGTTTTACGCCGCTTTTAGTAATATTCCAGCAATATCACGGCAGGGGACACAAGAAACGGGCTTCACACATTGCACATGTGTCGGGAATCGAACCCGGGTCTTCGGCGTGACGAGCAAACGCTTTAACCACTAGACTACTCGAACGCCCCTCATGTGTACAAAGCGTCCATTGGACATTTACGACTATATGCCGTATAACATGTTATACTTAAATATATTTCTGACAGGTGTTATACATGCGGTTAACTTATTGATGCTAACATACGCTACATTTCATATATGGGTATTTCTTATAATTATTGATAACTACATAATATGCATACGTATTAATATAGATATAACGTTGTATTAATACAATATATTGCTACATTTTCCCGCCCGTCAAAATTCAGGTTCTTTAAGCTATAAACGAAGGAATAAATAAATAAAAAATTATACATGTGCCAATGTAAATATATAACGTCAACGTCAGAAAATAACCAGTCTCGATTATCCGCCGAAACAGATTCCATTGGGCGTAAACGGCAAAATAGCGGTGAAAATTATATAAATGGATCACTGAAAATCAGTGATGACACCAGGTGTTCGCGAGAATGGTAAACATGTCCTTCCCTACCGGTAGCACCTGCCACTGATACAATTAACATCTACCAAAGTTATTAGACAGACCTTCCTAATTACTTAATATATTATAGTAATTATATTAAATGAATTCCTTCATTTCAGATTGTGTCATTGATTTGTTGGTCATCAGCTAAATAGCTACCGAACACGTTATCTAGTTCAGTGTTACGATGTGTTTCATCAGAGAATATCTTAGCATTGTCTACTACCTAGATGGCTGTTAATCATTGTCTTGTCCATTTGTCGTTAAAATATGCTGAATTTAACCGAGTAACCCCAAGACTGTAGACGCAGTACCTATATGTATTACAATGTACAATGCCGGGCAAAATAATGTATACCCCAGTGTTTGATGGTGGGGGGAAATGAAACAAACAAAAAATGGACGATTTTTTCTATGAGTATCATAGTTTACCTTAAATTTGTAATGTTTCGGCGACTGTTACAGTCTAGCAATGTTTTGATAAAGTTCGTAATTTTATTGTCTAATCCAATTTTCAAGTGAAAACTTTCTTTTGCTCGACAGTTTAGTTTCTGCAGTATCACCAACACACCCAGGCGCCCATGTTACGAAAGTCATAAACTACCATTTAATAGTTTTTTTTATAAAGTACAATATTTAGTCTGTAAGCAGCTGACATAATGTGTACATAATAACAATATATGTCGATAATGATCATTATTTATTTTCTAAATATTATTATGAGTTTAAAAATCACATTATACCAAAAGGATTGATTATGGAAACAAATTAATATAATGATAACATTCAATAATAACCTCCGTGATAGTAACTATGTAAATATACGCCAGAATGTTTCGTTCTATAAACATTAATATAAAATTGAATTTACCTAATGTAATACTAATAATAAGAAGAACAACAAGAAGAAGAAAACATAATATATTGTTTAGTTGATTCTGGATAAGTAAAAATGATAATGGTATGTCCAAAACGAAATTGAGCTTCATGGTCAAGGCCCAGTTCCACAAACCGATCTTAGCTCAACGAATGGCGCAAGTCAATGTTAAAGAATGGTAATTATGATCGTCTTAGGGCTAAGATCGCTTTGAGGAACGGGACCCAGGATTGAAAATACCGTATATCCGTATGTGTTCAATACTGGGTGCTTATTAAAGATCAACTATTTCAGTTGGTTAAACTTCTGAATGCTTCCAAATTTGACGCTTCAGTGACAAAATAACGCCGATTCAATTCCTTACTTTGACTTGTACTGTTGACTATGTTCCCGCGTTTTTTTTCAGGTGAATAATTGACTTGCCTTTGCATGCGTTTGTGAAGGGTGCCACGGGTGGGGCAGGATACGCTCACCTTTTCGCGAACACCTGGTGTCATCACTACCAGATAGTGATTCATAAACACATGCTTATGAAATAGTCGGAATCGTACAATGGTCTCTGCTTTAAGTAGCAAGTTCTTATGATTATGAAAATGTATTTTTTCGTTTTCATTTATTCGGATATGACAGTTATTAAAACTACAGATTGGAAGTACACGCTATGATCAAGAACATACTGCAAGATAGATTAATACCCATTTACCACTGGAAACTTCACGGTATATAGGGACACTTATAAAATATTTCGAGTGTGTTGATATATGAAAACTAACGTTAACAAAGATATTGACATTTTTATAAAACATGTAAGTATGTCGATATGTATATTTACAGTTTGGTATTAGAGAACCCGATGATCATATTCACGTAGATTAGTATATTTTTATCACTAATACACGTCGGGAAGTAGCATAATGTTTCTGAGTAAAGATGCTTTACAGGATATATATGAGCTCATTCCTCAATATTAACTACTGTTTCATGAGCTACTGAAATCCATGTTTTCGTATACAGTGTTTACTGTTTAGGTATTAAGTGACATGGTTTGTTTTAAATATGTAACGATCAGTCACAATGTGTATATGTGTAGCGATATTTTGTTCACAATATGTATGGCGATGTTTTGTTCACAATATGTATATATGGCGATGTTTTGTTCACAATGTGTATATGTATGGTGATGTTTTGTTCACAATATGTATATTTGGCTATGTTTTGTTCACAATATATATATATATATATATATATATATATATATATATATATATATATATATATATATATATATTACCACACATTAATTTTACAATAAAAGAATGACGCCCTGACCTTTCTGATCTTGAAATAAAAGAGAAAATAAACTGATATCTTTTAAAAATCAATGTTGATGTCACGTCTTCACGTTCTTCTAAAACAAATACCATATTAAA